ATTTTTTTTTACAATGAAAACAAATTTTAAAAATAATTGTAAAAAAATATTTTCCTTTAATTGACAATTTTCATGTAAAACAAAACCAAATAAATACAAAAAGATAAATGATTTTCTTGAAAAAAAATTTTGGGTTGGCAATGGAAACAAATTTTATCCCCAATATCAATAAAATTTATCTCTTTAATTGATAATTTTTATGTAAAATAAAGTCAAACGAACACCAAAAAATACTTTTATTTCAACATTTTCCACTTAGAAAATTATACCAATCAACCACAATAATTTACAATTCACAGGAAAACAATTTCTAGGTTATTCAATTCCCTGTAATTCGTTTTCAATTCAATTCAATTCAATTCCATCTTTACAATCAAACGGACCCTTAGTAATGTCGACCTCCATGACATTGTTTCTACATGACACTGTACCTACTTTACCATTTGTGATATCCATGCACAGTTGCACTTTGCTATGGACTCCTCTTTGTATGGGTTAATAACCAAGATGGTAATTGAACTTTGTAAAAAGTTTTCACATGGTCACTAAACTTTAAAAATCACTCAAATCATCATTGAACTTTACAAAAAGTTTTCACGGGATTACTAAACTTTAAAAATGATCTCATTTATCACTAAACTTTGTAAAAAAGTTTCCCAAAGAATCATTAATTTAGTGATCACTCGAAACATTTTCCAAAAAAATTTACGGGGTCATTGAACTTTGCAAAATGTTTCCAATGATCACTAAATTAATGATTCTTTGGGAAACTTTTTTGCAAAATTTAGTGACGAATGAGATGATTTTTAAAGATCAGTGATCTCGTTGAAATCTTTTACAAAGTTCAGTAATGACTTGAATGATTTTTAAAGTTTAATGACCATGTGAAATTTTTTTGCAAAATTTAATGACAAATTTGGGCTATTAACTCTCTTTGTACACAATCAATATCTTCATGTCACTAATTTTTTGGACTTATCTTGTCATACGGGTGGCAATGTTGTTTCCTTGTGTTTTCGAAGCACACGTTTAGGACTCAGTCCTCAACATAGGTTGAATATCAAGCCCAAGCTTTCAGAGATGCTCAAGTTTCTCTGGCTTCACTATTTTCGGACGTAAGTTTATTGATATATCTTTGACCGACAAACTTACTACTTATTGTGTCAATAATGGGCCCACACATTCTCATAGTTGAATTCTCTTCATATTCTTTGTTGATCATACTATAGAATTTGTTCGGTAGTGATTTTGAAAATTAATTTTTTGATTATTAGAAGAAAAGTGGGAGACACCTGTGAGACAAGAAATCAAAAATTACGGCTGGAATAGTAAAATAACGTCAAAAAATCAATTTTTAAGGATGAAAAATCACTCGCAAACGGGGCCTATAATAGGAACATGATTCCCTTTTGATACTCCTGATGTTTATTATCAATTGACGGCACCTTGAATAGCTAAGAACTCATGAAATCAATGCCACACGGACTATAGCAATGACAAAATATAAGTGAATTTAAATTTTTATATTAAGTGTATGTTTGTTAGGAATTAAAATTATATTTTTTAGTAGATTGTGATAGAAATTTTTGAAATGTGTGGTTAAAAAGTTGGGGACCCATGAAATATGTGATTAATATTGATTGTTTGACTTTGACTTTGACTTTGACTTAAATTAAAATCAGATTTTAATCCTTCCAAACAAATTCTAAATTCCTTAACAAAAGAATTGGCCAACTAATTCATTAAATAATGTGTAAACTAAATAAAAACACGACTAAAAGAAAAACAAGTTCAAGACTCAATCTCATTCATGCATAATAAAGGTAAGTACAAATGGCAATCACTTTGTGATTGAGCTTCACCCTGTTTCACATCCCAACAGTGGACTCATGAGAATTGAACTACATGGATATCTGTATCTAGTTCTTCATGAGGGCCAAAGCAGACAAAACCACTGAAAACCCACAATCCCCGTAGGAACAGGTTCCGGCGCTGGCGCCGCTATGCCAAACTCAAATCTTTCACCACCACCACCATTATCAGGCTCCGCGCCGCCATGTCGAACTCTTCTTGAGTAACTACAGAAGCCAAAGTTGCCAAAATTATCAGCACAGCCTTCGACATTGCAATCCCTCGTTTTGCCATTGCGAATATATATATATAGACACACACACACACACAAATCAGTTTTCTTGATTTCTGTGAGGGAGTTTGAGTGTGGTATTTATGGAGAAGGGTGATGGGGTGGATGCAAATGCACGTGGAGTGAGTCAAAGAGAGGATTGATGATTTTTTGGGGGCGAGCGGGCGGGTGAATGAATGGGGAGGAAATACACGAAAATGGATTTTGGACTGTAGCAAATTTTGACATTAACCTTTGACCCATTAAATGAATTAAAAAAAAAAAGAAATTAAGTTTAAAAAAAACTTTACACTAAAAGGGCGAATTTACCTTTCAAACTGTGACTGTTTGAACATTAATTTTCTAACCGACTGATCAAAAAAGAAAATCGACGCACAGTCGCCTGAAATTGCTCGATCAACCACCAGCCAACTACACCATCGTCGTAGTGAGCTAAATCGACGACCACGCATCTACACCGGAAAGAATACCTGTTAGTTTTCTCGCACGGTCATGTTCCAGTTGAAAATTTATTGAATAATATTTGATTTATTAGGTTTAATTAGATGAATATTCGGTTTAATTAGATCATGAGCATGAGTAGTGTTAGATTGTGGGCATGCTGGGATGAAAAGTGTGATATTTTTTGTAATTTTTGGACCAATGGCATCAGCAATGGCGATTTCCGGCCAGAATCGTGAAAGACGGTGCTGTTAACAGTCGGGTTAACACGACTGTTAACAGTCATGGACCGACTGTCATGACTGTTAACAGTCAATGAGCCGATTGTTAACAGCCGGTCCAGACTGTTAACAGTCATGGACCGACTGTTAATCGTCGGCCCACGACTGTTAACAGGAATTTTTTTTTAAAAATATATTTAATTTTTATTTGTTTTTTATAATTTTTGTAATTAATTTAATTTTTTATTTGATTAGTAATTATGTTATTTATTTATTTAATTTTTATAATTGTCTTTTATTTATATAATTTAATAATTGAATATTATCTTTAATTAACAATTTTGTGTTTTTCCTTTTTTTTTTATGAAATAATCTTTAATTTTTTTTCAAATTTATTTAAGTAATATAAATATTCTTTACATTTTTTAAAAATGTATTTAATTTAAATTTTTTTATTTGTAAATATATTTTTCAAATGATTACAAGATTAATTTTCTTTATAATTAATTTATTTTAATTTGATTAAATAATAATTATGTTATTTATTTATATAATTTTTATAATTGCCTTTTTTTATATAATTTAATAATTGAATAGATAATGTTGTCCGAAATTAACAATTCATTTTTTTCCTTTTATTGTTCTTTTACCTTTGATTTTGTTTCGAATTTATTTAAATAATATTTATATTCTTTAGTTTTTTTGAAAATGTATTTAATTTGATTTTTTTTAAATATATTCTTCAAATGTAATATTTGTGATTAATTTTCTTTATAACTAATTTATTTTAATGCGTATTGTATGGTAGTTAGAATTCGGTTTTCTTGATTTTGTGAGATTATGCTTTCTTTTATTATCTGTTGTTCAATACTCTAACATTTGAATTTTTGTAGGATGGAGTATCATTTAGATGGGAGTTGAGACGGATGGCGGAGAAGGCTACTTGGAACAGTAGTTTTGAGAGTTTTACTACTGTGTTGGAGCTGCTCGATGATCAGCACAGAGATAT